TCGACACCGAATCACCATCAAGAAACGCTTCAAGGTGCTCATGACCCAGCAACCGCGCCCTGTCCTCTGAGGGCCCCTTAAATTTCATGTCTCCTCTGTTCCCCCTCAAGAGACTTTCTGAAACCAAGCTCTTCAGTGTGTGAGCCTAGAAGCCTTCTTATCATCCTTGCTCTTTGGAATCGGTTTCATCGTTACCATTGTTCATGCTTGTGTGAAACAGTCATGGTAGCATACCTCTTAAGGGAACAAGTTTGAATCTTTCCATATTTTGAATCGCTGCCAGGTTATTAAATTGATTTGAAAGAGCTCTTGTTTTGTACGTTGTGGGAAGAAAGGAGGGAGATGAGAGGGAAGAGCACCTGAGGGGTACAACAAGTGGTACTTGGAAGAAAAACTTCAGTCACTGCAGGAGCGGTAGTGCGCGCGATGGGGTGTCGGGGAACGGGAAGAATGGTTGAGACTCTTCCACAACCGTCAGCATTCACTCAAAAGTACCCCTCTTGTCACTTAAGTCATTCCTTGCCCCTTGAAATGACGTTTTGACTCGGAGGAGTTGCTTGAAAAATAACAGCAGCTATACTGTAGAGGGGATGCTGTGAATTGGAAGTCGGGAGACCAGGATTTTCCCCTCTGCGTGCCTTTGAGAAAGTCACTTGTTTAGTCTCACTTTTCTCATTTCTAAATTCTCTTCCAACTCTAAATTTGATAGAGTTCAGTGGTGGATCTTAATATAGCGACAGTGTGTTATAAATAGAACCGTTGTGAGTATGAATGCCTTTGTTCATTAAATGAATAATATGCATCAATGAATGCATATTTACTGGCCCTCTGAAAATATTCCCAGGTTTTTCGTTTTCTCCATCAAGGAGTTGCCTTCTCACATACACCTAACTTTATTTTCTCCTTGGCAGGCAGCTACTTTGTGGAATTCTACATGGATCTTAATTTAGAAAATCGGGTATGAGAGATTCAAGCAGGGTTTTGCTGGTTTTTTAAGCTACTTTTGGGGTTAATTAAAAAAAAATGCAAGATTTCTTAGGACTTAAGCTGCTCTTATGGGGCAACCATAAGTTTTTCAGCCAATTCATAGTAAAGGGATGATGAGGGAAAATGCTGTATTTAAGCTTTCAAGAAATGCTAGCTTGCTTCTTCTTGTCTTTGTCAAGTTAATCAACTCATTATTTCCCAATTTTCCCATTTGTGGCTTTTGACATTGGATTTGAATACTTAGTGCCCCTGATTTTAAAACTGCTTTATGGAGATTGTGTTCTAATTATACAATCGTTTTCTACTGCATCAAGATTCTAGACTCTGGAAGCAGATGTAACTTAAATCAGCATAAATTTGATTTATCATCACTGGTCCTGGAAAGGAATAATTATGTTTCTCTTGGACTGTGATGTCTGACGATCTCAGTTAAAAAGTTAGGGATAATTGTTGACTGCCGAGAAAAAGAAAATCTTTCTACTTGGGTCATAGTTAATAGAAGACAGATGATTGTTGAATCAATTACTTACTTATAGGAATGGTAAAATGAGATACTCGTTTCCTGTCAAGCAATTTTTAATTTCTTAGCCTGTTCACTTCCGGGGTCTTAGCATTGGATCTAAGGGACTTTAAAGTGTTACCCTATCCTGGGGTTTCTGGGTGTCAGGTCATGATCTGATTGTGATGATCGTGGAGCCCCTCATGGGGCTCTGCGCTGATAGCGCAGAGCCTGCTTGGAATTTTCTCTCTCTCTCTCTGCCCAATTGCATGTGCGCTCTCTCTCCTCTCTCAAAATAAATAAAAACATTTGAAATTTTAACATCCTGTTAAGAGGATAATGATGGAAGAAATGTTAATTCTGCAAATAACTAGAAAAAGGATCTGCTATGGAACCTTCTTAAGCACCAAAGTCGGTAAATGAATTCTACCAATGTTTTATAATACTGACTGTAATTTTGTTTTTATAAGTAACCCACTACCCACCCCCGCCCCCCAAAAGGATTACCATTGTTCCATGCTACCTGCTCTGTAAACTGAAATGAAAAGACTTTGACCTGGAAATATTCCTAATTGAAGCAGAGGAGAAAAGGCAGACTGGTTTGAATACCCAGGGCTTTTTCCTTAAGAGATTCTCTAGATATTAATATCTTCTGAGATGTGCTCAAAAACTGGAGAATTTTAAAAGTTATAGTCTATTGGTATTAGGTAGTATATATAAGTGAATGAAAATACAGTGTGGTATGAAACAAAATTGGATGTCGCAGAAATCCACCATTTCTTTATAAAGAGAAAGTCTATTGAGATTTGAATAACTTAGCAGGCCTGCCTGAGAAAGACATCCCTCAGGAAGTGAATTTCTTCCTCAGGAAAGCTGTGAACCTGAGTTAATAATCACAGGCTTTGAAGAGCAAGAATCAAGCTTTAAAGAATCAAGCTTTAAGGAGGTTTACATTTTAAATGGGAATTCTCATTTTGTTACCTGGATATTTTTTATTTTGTGGTTTTGTTTTATTTTTTTATAACCTGGTTCATTTTAACCAGACTTTGGACTTCGTGTGTCATTTGCTAAAAAGGGATTTCCTGGCTCAGGTTTTCAGTATAGTTCTGACCTAGTGCTAAGAATGATGCTTAAACATTTACCCTGGGAGGTATAAGGACCCAGGCAAAGCCAGGGCACAGATTGTTAAATTTAAATTTAAATGTCTTGTTAAAGCTATAGGAAGTAACTTTAAAACAAAAGCATTGATAAGTCAAAACTTATTGAACACTCTATTCAGGTATTAAATAAACAGGCTAAGAAAAATATTCTGGTGGCAGTAGTAGGGAAAACACTGGGATTGGAACAAAAAAGTATCTCTTGTTTTCCCCAGGTTTAAAATTAAAGACATTTTATATAGGGGTGTCTGGGTGGCTCAGTTGGTTAAGCATCTGACTCTTGATTTCTGCTCAGGAGATGATACCAGGTCTGTGGGATGGAGAACCGTGTTGCGCTCTGCGCTGAGTATAGAGCCTGCTTGGGATTCTCTCTCTCACTGTCTTGCTCTCTCGCGCTCTCTCTCAAATACATTTAAAAAAAAAATTATGAAGACATTTTATTTAATGGAGCTTTCCGTCTAACTAGAAAGCGAAAAATAGCATTTCTGCTCACCTTTATTGAGGTATAATTGACCAAATTGTATACATTGTGTACACGATGGCATGAACTATGCATGTGGTAAAAGACATTTTAAGGATGGGGGGAAAATGTAGCACAAAGTATATATAGATGTGAGGATACAGTGCTGTAAAAACACATCTCAAAAATTTGAGTAAGGGTCATACGTAGGTGTATGGTATGGGAGGTTTGTTATTTTTTTAAAGAAATTATGAACGGTATTTTCAGAGACGCTTTTATTAAAAAGAGATGGGTTTTCAGGTTCTGAGGGCAAACGGCATTGTCTGCTCCCCCGAACGCCTCCAGACCTGAGTTTGTGCAACACAGCAAGACTGAGAAGGAAAAGGATTTGTTTTCTCCCGTGCTCGTTGCTCAGGCCCCAACACGCAACTACAATTCCCATCGTCCTCCGGGCCTCCCAAGTGTGGCCCTTCAGTCCCGCTGCGACTTCAGCAGCGCATGCGCGCAGCCCTTAACGTCGCCTCGCAGACTGCAGAGGTTGGGCGGGGCTCCTCGGCACTCGCGGGACGGTACCGCCCTCCGACCGCTCCCCCAGGCTTCTCTTCGGACCGTTAACCTCGAATGAGGAACGAGCGGAGAGGGAAGGGAGGGGCTGCGGCGGCGCTGGCACAGCCCGCCGGGCCCGGGGCCGGGGGCGGCGAGGTCACGTAACGGCTGCTCTGGCGTCTGCCCGGGGAGGGGGCGCCCTCCCCGGCAGCCGGAGCCCTCCTGCGCGCTGCTCCGAAACAGTTACCGGCTCGTAAACAACAGCTGCGCGCGCACCCGCATCAGCTGGCGCCGGGATTCAGCACCTGCGACCTCCTCTTCCCCTCATCCCCGCTGCCCCCTCCTGTTCAGCCCGGGCCAGCCTACGGGGCCGTCTCCTCTCTTGCTAGGACCCGAAGGAAGAACGGCGAGGGCCTGACCTGCGCCGCGGCCCTGGTCGGGGAGAAGGCGTCCTCCGGCAAAGGGGTGGCCCGTCCTGTCACACGCAGGAGAAACCCAGCGAGCAGACCGTGGGCTCGATGGACTAGCAACGACCTGCCACGACCCTGAGCTGCAGTCCGAGGGGTCTCGATCCGCTCGCTAGCCGCCCCCTCCCAGATCCGAGGGACCGTTCTGCCCGAAGAGCGGGCGGGCCACCCCCGCAGACCTCTTGGAGACGAGAATCCGCTCTGCCCCTGCATCCTCTGCTCACCCTTTTCTCCTCATTCTCCTGTATCCAGTAGTGTGGGGTATTTTTCTCGTTATGCATGCTCATCTCTCCCACCAGACCCAAGTGGATTATTGGCCTCAAAAACATCGGGTGACTCTCCACACACCTCCCAGCCAAACCTGTGGGGTATTCACCTGATACACAACAGGTGGCCGGGTGTACACCATTTCGCAATCTGATCTGTGCTGTATTCGCCTGATAAGGGTGGGCCTGCGCGCACTTTGCTCAACTAGAACCGTGGGACATTTACCAGATAAAAAAGACTTAACTACCTCGGCGGAAACCTGGGGGTCGAGGGGAGAAACGCTTCACCAGCTTCTCTTGAGACCATGGCGCTGGGGTCGCAGTGCTGGACCAGGGGAGATAGCTAGATAACTTTTTTTTTCCCCCTGAAGAAAGGAAGTTACACGAGTTTGGCATCGTTTTGTCTTTTTTCCTCCTTAAATATTTAATGGTAGTGCACTTTCTGGGATAGTCTGTTTGAATTCTGAGAAGGAACTTTTTGTGGTGTAAATCAAGGTTATTGAAGGTTTTTTTAAGTTATCTTTTCTATTTTACAATCAAAAGTAGCTAGCGTAGGAGGAAGGATTTTGCGGGGGTTTCCTTTTTTCTTTGTTCTTATAAAGGAAAAGAGAAAGAATAATGCATCCTCCAGAAACCACCACCAAGATGGCTTCAGTTCGGTTCATGGTGACACCAACAAAGATCGATGACATTCCTGGTTTGTCAGATACCAGCCCGGACCTCAGCTCCCGGTCCAGTTCCCGAGTAAGATTTAGCTCACGGGAAAGTGTGCCGGAAACAAGCCGGAGTGAGCCCATGAGTGAGATGTCCGGAGCCACCACTTCACTGGCAACTGTTGCACTGGATCCGGCTAGTGACCGGACTTCTAACCCCCAGGATGTCACGGAGGGTAAGTAGAAACACAGATGACAGGATACTTTCATTACCGGCTTATTTATCTGGTTGTCTACTGGAAAATCACTTTTCCATTATACAGTAATCATCAGGAACCAAGGTACCTCTTTTTGAGATGCCTAAGGAACCCTTTGGAATAATGGTCAGCACAGTGACTCTCGGCAGCAATAATTTGGCATGTGGGAAGGTATATGGAAAGAAGGAAAGCAAATTTATATTTCGACTTCTTCATTTTGCCTCCTTAGAATTGAAATGAGTGTTTTGGTTTAGGGCAAATATCAAAGAATTTAATAGTTTTTCAGCACAGAGAATCCTAAATGGTGAAATTCAGTGGAGAGCTTTGGGGTCAGAATATTACAGTTGGCTTTTAAGGCTAGTTACCAGGAGTAGTTATTGATCATATCTTAGTTACCGTTTTCACACAAAGATTTCAGATATTATGTCACCGAATTCTTTGTAAAAAATTATATCTTACAGAGACAGCAGTTCAAGAAGCTTAGCTTACTCAGGATGAGGCTGGTGGATCTATTGTCCTTGCTATCGAATGGAGAAATTGTAAAGAGGCTTTTAGGGCCTAATTCCCATATAATTTTGTAGAGAGGCTTTTAGGGTCTGATTTCTACATAATTTATTCACTTTGAACATTAGATGGAATGTGTTCAGTCTTTGTAGTCAGGAAATAGTAGTACACAAGCCACTTTCTGACTTACCTTGACCACTACAGACCTTAAGCTGCCTACACTAATTTGTGTTAGCTGGTTTGTAAGTTTTTACAGGATTTAGTGGGAAGAGGTGATGTAAAGAGAGAAAGGAGATGAGAGGTCATAACATTTTTCAGACTCTGAAGTACAAAAGTTTGAGAATTGCTGTACTGCTTTATATGTTTAGTTTTGTGCTAAATTATAACGTAGGTATGTCTAGTAATGAAAATTTCTCTTAAAACTCTTAAAGATTCTTAAAATGGTATTCTACCCAAATTTGAAAACCATAGCTTCAGCTACTGACTTGACATTTTCCGGTGTCAGGAAGTATTGTTCCTCTTAACCGAAAGGGTGCAGGAAACCAGAATGATTTTAGTTCCTTATTTGTGTTTGTGTTTCTGAATGTCTGGAAAGAAGGTAGATGTGGTAAAGTTTGTAGTCTTAGAATTCACTTATCCTTGACTATTTTATGGAGATATGGACTTAACTATTTTCAATTTCTTGACACACTTTATACCATGAAATGGAATAAAAAATAATTTATCATTTTCTCTTCCTCCAAATTAGTTCTAAATTGTAGTTTTAGTCTGTATCCATCATACTATATTTAGGTTGTAAAAATACCAGATAAAGACTATAACAGTGTTAATTTTTTTTAATGCTGTAATTGTTGTTAGGCAGTTTACAGCTAACTGCTATTAGTCTTGTACTTATATATTTTGGAATTGTATTTTTATTCTGTTTAAAAAGTGAACTTATTTCTGTAATGTGCTAGCCTTGTGGAACAGGATCCTTATCCAGGCTGTTCTTCCCTTATTTACAAGAATTATTTACAGTATGGAATGGTATCGTTTTACACTACAGAGGTAAAACTGGGGACCTATCTAGGTGAAATCTATGTTGTTTAGATGGGTATAGAAGTTAAAGCTTGGCTCTTTATCTAACATACTCCTTAATGTGTAAATATTATGATACCAAATGAAAGAAATTAACAGTCCAGCCATTAGATTGCAATTTCCGCTATATTCTCAGGAAACTAGTTCTGTATTTTACTAATGACCTATTTTTTTCTCTGTCTTCTATAAAATTATGACAACCAGAATCCTATATTTTCCCCACTATTAGAGGGACTGATCAAAAATACAATTATTTCATCTTTGGCTTCTTAATACACGGATGCCCTTGTTAGACTTAGATATAGATCTTCACAGGATCCTGTTGTCAAGAAAATCAAGGACATACTAATCTACATTTGTCTCTGGGCTGGAATCAGTATTGGAAAACAACGCTGCATTTTCCGCAAGTGATTCTGTCCTTAAGCTCATACTATACTTCAGAATTGTGTTTGCTATTTTAATATTTAGAATTCTGTGATTTTTTTTTTTTTTTGGCCTTTTATATATACATCCTTCTGTGGTTGTGACATTGGTATGATTATCTCTCTTTTCTCCACAATTCCCATGCCTCTCACATTTCTTCATATATTAGCTTCCCACCTTAAATTTCTTTTCTCATCATACACTTTTTATTCACATTACATTGTACAACCAAGGGGGGCGGGGGTGAAACACGAAGTTTTATATTTCTGTCTGTGTTTTAAGTTTTTCTCCTGTCGGCCTTTTGAGTAGGTAATTCTTTCTGCTATCAAAGTATTTATAATTTTCCTTTCATTTTGTTAAGGTTCCATTAGAGTTTATAGGATTGTGCAGTTGGTAAATAAAAACAAGAATATTAGACTGTACTTGCTTTTACATGAAGAATGCCTTAAAGATACAGAAGGAACTGTTGAGAGTGGATACCTCTGGTGGGTTATGAAAATAGGGTGGAAAATGGGAACATTCCTTTACCTAAACAATTCAGAAGGGCATGTACAATTTTTTAGATTGAGGATGCATCACTTTAATAATAAAAATTTTAAGAGGCATAGCATGTTAGGGAACCTCAGATGACCAAGAATTGAATTCTGAAGAAGAACAAGAATTGAATTCTGAAGAAGAACAAGAATTGAATTCTGGTCAAACTCTATTTTAAAAAATGGGAAGGGAGTGCACCTGAGTGGCTCAGTCGGTTAAGCATCAGACTTCAGCTCAGGTCATGATCTCACGGTTCTTGGGTTCAAGCCCCGCATCAGACTCTGCTGACAGCTCAGAGCCTGGAGCCTGCTTCGGATTCTGTGTCTCCTCCTTTCTGCCCCTTCCCCATTCATGATCTGTCTTTCTCTCTCCCTCAAAAATAAATAAGCATTAAAATAAAAATGGGGAAACTAAGGCTTACAGAGATGGTTATTTGTAGATCAGAGTGGGAAAGCCAAGACTGAAAAGTGCAGGCCTCCTGACTTATATCCAGTGCTTATATCATTTTGTCTCTGTCATGATGAACATTATTTACATTTGCCTTGTAACTATTTTGTTATCTTAAACGATTGTTAAAATAATAATACCCAAAAAGAGCAAGGGACATATTTTTATATGTCTTACACAGGTTCTGATACATTTCACCCTTTTACAATTGAACAAATGCTCCCTGAGGCTCTGCTATGTATAAGGCACTCCAGTAGGAATTATAGGAAATATACATATGAGACAGTCTCTGCCTTTGGAGAGCTTATAGTTTAGTGGTGAAAATGACCAGAACACTTTATCCATTTCTTCACCAAACATTTACTGAACACTTCTTAGGAGTCAGGCCCTGTCCTGGGTGTTAAGGATGCAAGGATGCAAGAAAAAAAATCCCAATAACTGTTGTAAGGAAAGTTATGATCTAACAGAGAAAACAAACAAATGTTCCTATAAATTATAATGCTGTGTGATAAATACAAAAATGAAGATACAGCAAAACACCAAAAAAAGAAAAATACAGCAAATTTTAGAATAATACAATAGAAAAATTTAGCAAAGGAAATGATGAACTGAGATAAAAATGGAGACATTTAGAGACTGGAGGTCCTGATGGAGTAAAGTTGTAGTGAAAGATGTAGAAGGATTAAAGACTGTGTTCAGAGAGTTGAATGTTGGAGTTAATTGTTTCAGAGGTGGGGCAGGTCCAGTGTTAAGATGATCTAATATGCAGCCTTGGGAGTGGGTTTCTGAAATGGAGTAAAACTAAAATCCATTAAGTCAAGGAGCTCTAAATATACCAATTCCAAGGGTGACTGTCAACAAGTTTTTATTGGGGGGCATTAGGTGGTAGAGATGCAAAAGTAGTAAGTCCCTCCTTCAAAGATAAGTCCCTCCTTCAAAGAATCACCTTCTGTCTGAAACTTTCTCTGATTTACCCCCACCCCCAGATAAAATAGATAAGTTCTTTATGTCCCTGTATCCCTTATGCAGACTGTTACTATAATACCTATTCACTTAATTTTGTTGATTTTGTATGTTATCTTTCTCACCTAGGCAGCAAAGTTCTTGGGACAGGAACACAAAGTTGTCTTTGTATCATCAGCACCTAGTATAGTGTGTCATGCCACATATAATTTGCACTCAATAAAATACATATTGAGTTGAAGATCTTCTAAGCCAAAAAAAAAGATCTAGAAATAGGGACGCCTGGGTGGCCCAGTCAATTAAGCGTCCAACTCTTGGTTTCAGCTCAGGTCATGATCTTGTGGGTTTGAGTCCCACATTGGGCTCTGCACTGGCAGAGCCTACTTGGCATTCTCTTTCTCTCCCTCTCTCTCTGCCCCTCCCCCACTTGTGCTGTCTGTCTCTCTCAAAATAAATAAATAAACTTTAAAAAAAGGATAGAAATATAAACAAAAATTAAAAACATAGTATGGTAAAGGCAAATGAAATGTACCCACTAGAGCAGTGATGCTTCATCTGGTTGCATATTGGAATGATCTAGAGATCTTTTTAGAAAATACTTCTGCCCCTTTCCCAGGGATTCTGATTTAATTGCATCAGTATTTTTAAAAGCTTTTCAGATGATTCTAATGTAAAGCCCGCATTGAAGACCATAGCCCGGAAGAGAAGCGTGATTAATGCTGTGCATTTGAGAAGAACTTTCCCACCTGATTAGGACTTCACCGTGAGCAGATAGGCACAGCAGGCCTTTCCTTAAATGTCAGGAGGTCTTATAGACTAGAATATTTATCTGCCCATGGAGCCATTACACTACACACTTACGTTTAGTGTATTCAGCTGATCTAGGGTTAAATCAGAATAATGATTGACTAAGCAACTTGGAGAACTAGCTAGTTGTGTTTTTTTCCCCCATAAGAACATACTTCAAAGTACCAAGTACTTTTCTGTACTTTTCCAAAAAACTTCTAAGTTTTTGCCCCAAACCAAAATAA